TATCATAAATGCCCCCATCATAAACGCCCATATCAGAAATAGCCCTATTATAAATGCCCTTACCATGATTACCCCTATCATAAATGCCCCTATCATAAATGCCCTTCTAATAAATGCCCGATCTTAAATGCCCCTATCATAAATGCCCAAATCATAAATGCACTTATCATAAATGCCCCTACCATAAATGCCCTTATCATAAATGCCCGTACTTTAAATGCCCCTATCATAAAATGTCCCCATCATATATGACCATATCAGAAATGGCCCTTACCATTGATGACCCAACCATAAATGACCCTATCATAAATGCCCCTATCATAAATGCTCTACCAAAAATGCCCTTACTTTAAATACCCCTATCTTAAATGTCCCCATCATAAACGCGCATATCAGAAATAGCCTTATTATAGATGCCCTTAGCATGATTACCCCTATCATAAATGCCCTAATCATAAATGCTCCTATCATAAATGCCCTTATCATGAATGCCCCTATCATAAATGGCCTTATAATAAATGCCCCTATCAGAAATACCCTTATCATAAATGACATTATCAAAAATAAACCCATCATAAATGCCCATTTCATAAATGCCCCCATCATAAATGCCCCTATTATAAATGCTCCTATCATAAATGCCCTTATCATGAATGCCCCTATCATAAATGGCCTTATAATAAATGCCCCTATCACAAATACCCAATCATAATTCCCCCATCATAAATGCCCCTACCATAAGTGCCCTTATCATAAATGCCCTATCATAAATGCCCTTATCAGAAATGCCCTTTTCAAAAATGCCTGTATCAGAAATGCCCTTTTCAAAAATGCCTGTATCATAAATACCCTTATCATAAATGCCGCTATCATATCTGCCTTTATCAAAAATGACTTTATCATAAATGCCCTTATCATAAATGCCCATATCAGAAATGACCTTACCATGAATGCCCAGAACAGAAATGCCCCCATCATAAATGCCTCTATCATAAATGCCCATATCAGAAATGACCTTATCAAAAATGCCCCTATCATAAATACCCTTATTATAAATGCCGTTTACCCCCATCCTCGCTTCTCGACCGGATTGTAACGGATAACCTGGTCCTTCTCGGTATTTCGTACTCTGCACTAACCCATTCCGCGGGACTACACGGCGCAGACCCGATCCGTACCACAGAGGGGGGTACTCTACTTAGTAGGTCAGCAAGCCAATATATGGAACATTCGATAGTAACAGTGTTTTGTCAACACCGGCCCGAATTGACTCAGCACATATCTTCCATTGTCGACTCACTTGGCCCAAGCTTCAAATGAGAATTTACTGACCACTTCTTCCCATCAAACTTTCCTGAACCACTACAGCGACTATGAGTGCCATACCATATGTTTATACATACTTGCCAATTTTGAAATAAATAATATTATCCCTATCATAACTGCCCCTATCATGAATGCCCCTATCATGGATGCCCTTATCATGAATGCCCCTATCATAAATGCCCTTTTAATTTATGCCCCTATCATAAATGCCCCTATCATAAATGCCCCTATCATAAATGCCTCTATCATAAATGCCCTTATAATTTATGCCCCTATCATAAATGCCCCTATCATAAATGCCTCTATCATAAATGCCCTTATAATTTATGCCCCTATCATAAATGCCCCTATCGTAAATGCCTCTATCATAAATGCCCTTATAATTTATGCCCCTATCATAAATGCTCCTATCATAAATGCCTCTATCATAAATGCCCTTATAATTTATGCCCCCTATCATAAATGCCTCTATCATAAATGCCCTTATAATTTATGCCCCTATCATAAATGCCCCTATCATAAATGCCTCTATCATAAATGCCCTTATAATTTATGCCCCTATCATAAATGCCCCTATCATAAATGCCCCTATCATAAATGCCCCTATCATAAATGCCTCTATCATAAATGCCCTTATAATTTATGCCCCTACCATAAATACCCCTATTATAATTGCCCTTATCACAAATGCCCTATCATAAATCCCCCCATCACGAATGCCTCCATCATAAAGCCCATATCAGAAATGCCCTTATCAAAAATGCCTTTATCATAAATGCTCTTATCATAATTGCCCCTGTTATATTTCCACTTATCATTCCTATAACTCGCAGAATCTCAACCAGGATAGGCATCAAATTGGATTCAGCAATAGTTAATATCGTAGTTGTTGATGTATTCCTGGTGGTAGTTATACAGAATTCACCATCATCGCGTCTAGTGTGTCTGTTCTTTGCTGAACTATCCATAAACCCGTCCGTGTATAAAGGTTCTGCTTCATCGTGTGTTGTATATGTCGGACATGCCTTACTATACACTAAAATGCACGCATAACCTTCAGATGTAGGGTAATGTTGTGAAACTATGACAATACCCTGCTATCGGGAATAGTATCCTAAACATAGGCATCTGTGCAAGTTTGTATATATGTATTCATATGCACATGAGTTAACGCATATTAATATACGTAAACCTTAAGCCCATCTGACAGTCATTGTTTGTGGTTTGTCCGCAGGGCCTGGGACAAAGGAACCTGTACGTTCGCGTATGTATAACATTAGTTGTAGGGTATCACTCGAGGTATTCATTTCTCTGGCTTGCCCGTGAATAAATTGATGCTGAATTTTGTACTCTTTGCTTACAATGAGGGCACGAACTCGATCTCGAAGGTTAACATTGTACCTTTTAAGCGCGAAGATCTTGCATACAAATAGGAAGGGGTGCACTCGTTGATAGAGCCGTTCAGAGCATGCTAATATATAGAATCACCACAAAAGTAAAATATAAGAATGCACAGTATAAACGATAAATTTCTATCTACTTGGCTGTGTGCGCATACATTAACTACAGGACCACGTTGAATAGCTTCTATATACACAGGAATGTTGAATTTCTATCCACTTGGCTGTGTGCGCATACATTAACCACAGGACTACGTCGAATAGCTTCTCTATGCACAGGAACGTTAAATTGCTATCTACTTGGCTGTGTGCGCATACATTAATCACAGGACTACGTTGAATAGCTTCTCTATGCACAAGGACGTTAAATTTCTATCCACTTGGCTGTGTGCGCATACATTAGCCACAGGATTACGTTGAATAGCTTCTCTATGCACAAGAACGTTAAATTTCTATCCATTTGGCTGTGTGCGCATACATTAACCACAGGACTACGTTGAATAGCTTCTCTATGCACAGGAACGTTGAATTTCTATCCACTTGGCTGTGTGTGCATACATTAACCACAGGACTACGTTGAATAGCTTCACTATGCACAGGAATGTTAAATTTCTATCTACTTGGCTGTGTGCGCATACATTAACCACAGGACCACGTTGTCAAGCTTCTCTAGTCAAGCAAAGATCGACATCAAGCGTTGGTACATTGAGTGTTGGTACCTTAAGCGTGGGTACTTTAAGCGTTGGCACATTGAGATTTGGTACTTTAAGCGTAGGTACTTTAAGCGTGGGTACTTTAAGCGATAGTACTTTAAGTGTTGGTAATTTAAGCGTGGGTACTGTGGTGCATAGGTGTCGCAGTAGCGGCGCTACTTGTGGGTGTCACGGCAGGAGCCAAAGGCACAACCATCGACCTTTCAGAAACAACTCACTATCGTTAAATTGTTTTTAAAATGTTACTCCCCTACCACACACATCTGCCTCAGCTGAACCCCCACACTGAAGTGGTCGAGTCAACCACTCGGCTTATTATGGTGTGGTGTGGCTGGTGGCAAGTGCGCATCACCTGAATGGCACTCGTGGGCAATGTCGCTGTCGCAATAAACTTCTTTATTAGATTTACGTAATAAACTTCTTTATTAGATTTACGTAATAAACTTCGATATTAGATTTGCGTAATAACCCTCGTTATTAGATTTACGTAATAAATTTCTTTATTAGATTTAAATCACCTACCTCAATCGATAACAAACAGGCACGCCTCTTGCCCGTCGATACGATACGCCTTACTTGTATGCAACACACACACACCTTCACATCATGAGAGTGTCTTGTATGCAACACACACACACCTTCACACGTGATGTGAACATGAGAGTGTCTTATATGCAGCACACACACCTTCACATGTGATGTGAACATGCGAGTGTACAGAATTCGCGGCAACTAGGAACGTAAGCCGCTCTGAATGTACCTACCAACACACTGGCAGTGCCCTATGAGGTATAGTACAAACGTGAGCCACAAACCCGCGAGAATACAAGGTAAACCTCAGTTTTAGCTTATCTAACCACACGACGGAGGTGCAAATGAGCCCTGTCCCGTCTGCACATTCTGGGTGGCGGACCACACCCACCAATGCATACGGTGGTGCAACCGGGGTGTAATGAGACATTTTTTTCTTCGGGATAGAAGTCTGAAGACGAGTCTTGCAAGTGGGGAATCAGATCCAAAGCACACGTTGTGGGTTTGCACACCAACCCGCGCCAGTCGCTTCAGTACGCGACACACATGAGACAAACACAATCCCAATAACCTTAACATGGACGTAAGCCGTGTCGTACACCATATCACGTGGTCAATGTTGTCCAGAAAGTCACCTCTCAGATCCATTTCAATCACCTCCTAGTCTATACATATGCATGTCCTAAACTAGAAAATTTCGGACCGGTCCTGGTTCCCGTCCTGTCCTAAAAACCTAGAATATCTCGACATCAGGTGACACTTGGCGTCGCACCAGATCAGCGTAGATGCCCTGGGCTGTCAGCAGTTCGTCGTGCGTTCCCGTTTCGCGCACTCGGCCGTGCTTCAGCACCGCAATGCAATCGGCATCCTACAGGGTTTAGGGTTTTGGGGTTAGGGACAGAGATGGTGGTGTGAATGAAACCGCTAATGAGGCATTCGGATTGATACCAGAGGTAAAGATATAAATAAACCATTTATGACCAGAGAATTCAATAGCCTCTTAGAAGACCGGGTGACCACAGTCCTCTCCCTACTGATGGTAGACATGTACTCCACCATACCTCAAATATATATAT